TGACAAACATCAAGGAAGCAACTCGTTGTATCACATTGCAATAATCTGTATTATTACTCCACTCGTTTGCCGGTTTTCGCATGAAGTCGTTCGAAATATCGAAAAGGAATAAGCAGTGTCAGAAATGACGTTTGACTTCGGAGCCTAACTAAAACGTAGTTCACTTATAGATTGCCCAACGAGCGAAATCTGACTGTACTTGTGACTTGGCCAAAGCTCGTGAAGACAGTTTTCGTTTTCTCCTGTTTTTGGTTTTTGACGTAGGACTACTTCTGTGTTTTCTATATGGAGGTGACCCTAATGGCAGTTTAATATATCAAATAAAAGCTTCACATTGAATATTAAAAATTTCCAACTGCTTATATAATTCAAACAACATCATCTCACTAACAGCTGTACGGACAAGTGGATATTAAATATTTCCACTACAAGATTTTTCGATTCAAAACAGCGTCTAGTAAATAAGTTGTTAGGCACTTTCTGGACTATATTTCTACATAGTTAGTTGCATGGTTAAAGCAAATTTGTGGTCTCTAGTGATAAAAATTCAAAAACGTAGGTTTTTCAATACTAATTTCCATACAAATTTCAAACGCAATGCGGAAAGCCGGGTTACAACCAATCATCCCAAAATTTTACATAGTTGTTTGGGACCCCAAATGGAACCAAAAAAAAAGTTTGATCTCGCATGGTGAGGTAAAGTTTGCGTTTTTCCATATTACGGTGACCCACTCTAATACATATTGAGTATACTTTGTCGAAACTAACAATGAAATGACATGTTAGTAGTGAACAACTAACCTGTACAAGGGAGATTAACATAGCGATTTTTTATCATAATAATAATTCGATTTTTTACTCAGCACACTCTTCAACGTTGTTTTATCAAAAACCATTACACTAAAAATTAAATCAAAATGAAACCAATAAATTAAACCCATAAAATGTGCCAAATTTTCAGCAAAATTGTAAAAAAAATGCACCTTTTGGCGCTCTAGACCTCTGATGGTCTTGCGCTTCAATTAAGCAATAACTATCAACCGTAAAAAATATGTTGTTGCCACTGCCACAGTGGTCCAGGAGGACGGTTTTCGGAAAAATTGGTTATTGCAGAAAGTTACAAAATGTTAAAGTTGATCATTCTCAATGGAGATTCGCTTGTACTGGTACTATATTGAGGGTTTCAGTCTGCAGCAAAGTTGCATTATTTCATGCAATAGCAAACTTCTTCAAACAAACATTATAATTAAAAAATCGGATATAAGTGTTGCTGAAGAAATATCTATTTAAAACCACAATAAAACTAGATGTCTCAAATTTTTTATGAACTCCTATGTTGAAATCATCAAGTTCCCCTCCAATGTTTTGACACAAACTGATCTTTTAAAACCCTGCATGGGAATAAATTTGGTAAAAAATGAAAAAAAAAATAAAATTGAGATAGGGTCAATTAGGAAACCTCTTGGACCAAAAACTGGTTTATTTACCCTATTGGCTACAAAAATCACTTTTTTATGGATTTGATAAATTTAGGCTGGAATATCTATGGTTCTCGCACATTTTTTCAAAAACACATTTTTGTATCTCAAATCAATGGAAAACCTTCTCAGCGGGAAAGAATCAACCCCATCACATAAAATATTTGCCTTCCGATTTACAAAAAGAAGCGTCGGTGAAATCCTTCATACCGACTTTAAATAAAGTAAATCCGGGCAAAAGTTTGAGCTTAGTTGAAAAAATAAAATACCTGAAAATTCCAAGGATACCAAATTCACAGTTCTCTAACAGAGCATTGATGAATTTTCATTACTTGGCGAAACATTAAATTTACTCAAAAATAGTGGTTTTCCACAATAAATACAATAGGGTGTCAATTTTTCCGAGGCTTTAGTCACATTCTGCACTATTGTTAAGAGTAAATAAATGATTTTTAAACATTTGTGAATTATGGGGCTCGGACACTACACGAAGTTTTGGTCCACCATAGGCTATTCTATACCTTGAAATTAAATTATCCCTTCACTTTTGAGTTTTTCTTGATCAATGCCTCAAAAAGTGGCAAATGCTATACTTTATCATCTCGAAACTAACTTTTACCCGTAACTCTCTAAGCCTTCATGAATCTTTACCATTTTTTGCACAGACTAATATTTTGGGGATATGAATCAAACTGGAGGGTGAACTATGAGAAATTTAAGACTTTTTTTTAAATGAACCACTCATAACTTAATATTTGCTTCCAATGGCGATGATAACAGCAATGAACAAATATTTTAATATTATTCTAGAACAAGAAATTCAAGGAAAGGTGGATTTGCTTATGCTAAGACTATAAATTATTCAGTTTATAGCCTAGTTTTCTTAAAACCTCTGGTAAAAGATCGGTCCACAACTGCTTTTCTAAGTGAACATTTGTCAGATTTGAATGGATGAATAACTCTTATTTAGTGGATAATTCTAAAAACCAAATCTAAAGCAGCTAGGTGAACTTGAGATTGCAAATCAATTTAACCCTGCATCGCCTATTTTCATCTAAGTGGTGACACCTGTTTTGTTTTGACTGTGAAAATCCAATTGTTATCCGATTTTGATGAAACGTGTTACAAATGAAAGCTTTATGTATCTACTTTCACATTGGTGTGTACCGGAATGATCCCCTTGACTCAGTTTCAAACACAAAAAGTTATTTTTTTCGTTTTTTTTTTGCACATTATAGTGGTTTTAACAAGCTTATAAATAGCATAATATGAATAGAAATGAGTTTACTTCAACGGTGCTGGGCGCTGGAGGATTACAGAAACTCATCAACATCTAGATTACCAAGCCACACTTTTAAAATCAAGCTAAACTTCAAGAGCATGGTGATTTTGAAATGAGTGGCGTATGCTCAAAGACTAGCATCATATTCGAGCATTGTTAAGTACAAGGAGAATTTTTCTTCACTAGCGATAAGAACACACGCTTTGCCCTGCGGTCTCATTAAGGCATTCAGATGGATAAGGAAAACAAGCACATCTTATATTATTTTTTTCCATCCACTTCATTCGTTTCTCATCTCTGTATCTGCAGAACTCAGAATAAATTGAAGCGTTATACATCCATGATTTTTTTCTTTCTCTCTTTTCTGTGGGATATGATATCAGGTTACCTTTCCCAGCGATGTCATACATCATCAGGATCTTCCACTTTACTGTGTCACAGCGGATATGAGTTTACTCCCTCAGGGTATATTCGTTGTGTGAATGAATGGAAGGGGTTTTCGTCAAAACACTGATTCTAAAGAATGAAATCTAGAAAGGTGATCCAAACATTGCTCGTGATATCAAGAAAGAACTGATGCTAAAATTAACGAGAAATAATATTTATTTGCGTCATTCGTTCTAACGTAACGATCCTTTTCTAAAGCATAGCTTTGGTATTATTTTTAATTTTTATTATTAGTTTTTTTTTCCTTGATTTGTTTTCCGTCGATCTTATTTTCCGTGCTGAGCACCAATGCTACCGACGCCAGGGAGGCAGCTCCCACACCTGGACCCTACCTATCGACCCATCATACTCATGAACCGGGGACCAACGGCTTTACTTCCTTTCCGAAGGCGTGATCAGAGAAGTTATGCGTCAGAACATCCCGGAGGCGCCGACTAGGATTGAACCCAGGCCTGGTGGGGTGAGAGGCAATCACGCTTACCACTACACCACCGGTGCCACTTTATTATTAGTTATTGGCGACAATTTATGCCTAAAAGTAATACCCAGATACATGAAACTCTATTTCAAAGCATAAACACATGAAACCTAGGTTTTTGTCGCAAATAATGATGGATTCCGCGATGGACTCGAAAGTGCCTTGAAAGATCCTATTAAAAACAAAAAACAACAACAACAACAACGAACATAAAGTTGCACAAATGATCCGTGAAGTTTTGTTCAGATTTAGCACAACACCACTACAGCCAAGATGTACTGCATAGGTACGGGGGTAACATCGGACCTTAACACACCCAATGGCCCCCGATTCCTCCCAATCTAGACATATTAGAATATTATCAAGTGGAAGTTCATGAAGATTGGCTCAGGATGCTGCAGAGATGACGAGATAGTGGAACAAAATAGTCGTGTAGATTCTGCAAAAAAATATCGCTCTCATTAATATATTTGTCTTTCAAACTAATGCAAATGTCGTTAAAAGATTTTATTTAGACAAAAGGTTATGGTTGGCTGCCCATATTAAAAAAAAAATTGAAGATGGTAAAATCAACTGTCTCCAGGGATCAATTGTGTCCGGGTTTCCCTTTCGTTACTTACGATTACAGCACACTAATTCCAACGCTATGCTTAACATACAGAACGAGAGTAAAATCGATTGTCGATAGTGGGTTATTTCGATATTGAACTGTACCGATAATAAATTCATGCTAAAAATGCTCACCCAGTAGTAACAAGTTTTCAATTTTAGGATTTATTTTCACTTTAGAAATATAACATGCTGCACCTTCAATAAATCCAGATTATAATTTGAGTTTACATGAAATTTCCATTTTTATTCAGATTCAAATAATCCAGATATTAGTATTACTGGATAATACTAAATCATATCAACAATCAAATTGAATACTAACTCTGGAAAATAGTAATTACACCTACACAATCTTTCGCACCGCAGCTTTCATAGTGAGTGTTGACAACATTATCAGCACCCACATTAGCTTGGTAGCACTATTTTGTTGGTAGCTGTTTCGATGTCACTTTTTTGGGGAAATGTGTGCAAACCACCATGCAGGTATTGGTGAGTCACTAGTTCAACGTAGCTTTTTTTCTTAGCTCCATTTGGAAAGTAGAAATTTTCCAGCGACAAACCAGATAAATACTTAATGAGGTATATGTAATAGTGTTATTTTTATGCTCTATCGCGGAAAACTGTATATGACTCTGGGAAAATTGCTCTTCTTGGATTTTTATGAGGACATTTAAACAACTTCAATAAGGCAAACAAAAATTACCATTCATTGGATTTGTACGTTTTCACTATTTTCCAGTCACAAAACAATTGCTAACAATTTCTCGTATCGACGGTTTTCACAATTTTCACTTAACGCGACCGCGAAGAGTGTGGGTTCAATCAATTTTTCTTTTCCATTTACCTTGGCCTCTGCCACCAGGGTAGCTTTTCTCAGCCCACGGTCGTTCACTTATGCTCGCCCAGTATGCCAGCCTGCAATCATTTTGCACGAATTCGATAAGAGTATGGATCAAATCCAGGAAGTTGAATTCACACAAATTTTTGTTCCAGGATGACTTGGTTTTGGTTAGCACTTTTTCCTTCGCATTCTGATCCACATCTGAAGCAGGTGGCCTGGTGATACAATTTTTTACACTACGATTCACACGGGAAGAAATTTTCTGCAGAAGCTCCTTCACCCTACCCGAAATTTTCCACCATAAATTTTCCTAGCGCAATCGAACTCGCGCTACGTTTGGGCCATTGAATCCAGGCCCTGGTTGGTTCTTCATCATTGTTACACTATTTACAGCCAAAATTTGGCTTTTTCAACAGAAATTCCACCAATTTTATTCTCCTCTCAAATTTTCACTTCTACACTCCGCTACGATGATAAAAGAATCAATGAAAAGCTCTTCGTTCATCGCGCAGGATCCCCATGTCGTGCTACCAGTGAAATAAGCTTTTTGACGATGTTCGGGAAATATTCGTTCAGATTTTCCTAGCTCATGGTTTCTGTCCTTGATAGATAACATTGTTTACATTAATTAAAATACGATTTATTATAAATAATATGAATTAAAGTACATTCAAATAATACTGAGTCCTGTCTAAGACATAAAGCATAACTAGAATAAAGCAAGTTATGATTTTCCATTGAATAGTTTACAGTAAATTCAATTAATTTTTTTCGCACTATTTGCACGTGTACTCCTCGGTCCGTTCAGTGCAAATGTCGCAGTTGACTGTGCAACACCATTTGAACTTACAGTTACACTGCCATGTTCTTACAATCTGGTGTGTGTTGTAGCCTCGCCCGCAGCATAACAGATCACATTTGTCCATTGAGTTCGATGTGCGATTGCATTGACGCCCAACTGTTCCCAAAATGCCAGAGTTATCGTCGCGCTCACAGTAGTTTGGTGAAGGTTGCAAATAAACCAATTCCATTCTCTTTGGTTGTTGGTTGTTTACACTGGTGTGTTGCTGTTTACCCCTCCTGCAAAAGAGTACAGTGTTTAACAAGCAATGTATTTATGTTACAATTTTGCAAGCAAAAAACCTTTTTAAAACCAACTGCAGCTGACCGTTGGTTTTCCCCGTAACTGCAATGGCCTGCACCACTTTCGCCTTACGATACTTTTTCGTCATGATGTCACCAATCGCGCGGAACGGAGGTAGACTTTTCCAACAGGTCTTCATTGCGCATGAGCCACTCACACCGTGGCACTTGCATTCCGTACGCAGCAACAATTTGACAATCTAAAAGTGTAAGCAAACACAAACAAAGCATTACTGTTGTGGGTATTAAAAGATATGCTTGTCGCGCCCATAATAAATTAGAGTCTGGCGGGGGTTATGATGAACAGGTAAAAACAGCCGCGATATTTATCAAAGCTATTTCATTCAAAATGACTAAAATAAAAATATATATTTTATTTGTCTGCTTCGATTTAGCTGCACAGTTGTTCATTTTAAGTAAAATTGTGATTTAATGATTTCAGTTTTTCAAACAGGATCA